CAACATTATGCTGGCTACAAGAGATTCACCTTAGTGCAAATACATCCATAGACTGAAGGTGACAGGATAAAAAAGACATAACATTCAAATTGTACTCATGAACAATTAGGGGTAGCAATTATCACATCAGATAAAGTGGACTTTAAGCCATAATTAATCAGAAGAGACAAAGAATGTCACTTCGTGCTGTTTAAGGGAATCATATATCCACAAAATAATGACCATAAATATTAATGTCCCAAACAACAGGACATCTACATATATCCAACAAACCCTTATCAATATTCAGAACCAAATAGATCACAACACAATATACTGGGTGACTTTAACACACTTCTCTCATCACTGGATAGACCATCCAAACATAAACTAAATAAAGATTCTACAGAACTAAAAAATACAATGAATAAGTGGAATGAACAGTTAATATCCATGGAATATTTCATGAATCACTCAATTCACTTTCTTCTCAGTAGCACATGAAGCATTTTCTAAAATAGACCATATTTTAGGTCACAAGACAAATCTTTGCAAATATAGATAATACCTTGCATTCTATCAAATCATAAAGGAATGGAGTTAGAAATAAGTGATAAGATTAAAAAAAGATCTCATTCTAACACCAGCAGATTGAATAATAAACACTTGAATGATGAAAGCATAGCAGAAGAAATCATGGGAGAAATAAAAAAAAATTAGAAGTAAATGACAATAGTCATACAACATATCAAAAATCTCTGGGACAGTATGAAGTCAGTTCTAAGAGGAAAGCTCATAGCATTTAGATCATACATTAAAAGAATAGAAAGATAACAAATAAACAATCTAACATTTTATCTCAAGGCCATAGAAAAGAAGAACAAACCAACCAACACCCAAATCAGTAGAAGATAGAAAATAATTAAAATCAGAGCAAAAATCAATGAAATTGAGAATAACAAAAAATTCAAGAGGTCAACAAAAGAAAGAGTTGGATTTTTGAAAGGATAAACAAGGTTGATTAAACCCTTAGCCAAACTAATGAAAAGAAAGATTAAAAAAAAAATTGTCAAAATCTGGGATGAAAAAGGAAATATCACCACAGATACTACTGAAATCTAGAGAACCATCAGAAACTATTTTGAAAATTTATACCCCAATAAGCCAGAAAATCTTGAAGATATTGACAGAAACACATTAAATGATAGTGCTCCAAGATCAAGTGAGTTTCATTCAAGGGATGCCAGTTGGTTCAAAATACAGAAATCAATAAATGTCATTCACCACATACATAGACTTAAGTATAAGAATCACATGATTGTCACAATAGATGCAGAAAAACCATTTGACAAAGTATTGCACCCATTCATGTTTGAAACACTAGAAAAACTGCAGAGAAAAGAAATTTACCTCAACATTAAAAGCTATATATGACAAGCCCATGGCCAACATTAAGCTGAAAGAAAAGAAACTGAAATCATTTTCTCTAAAAACAGGAACAAGGCAAGTATGCCTGCTTTCACAATGCCTATTCAACATAGTCCTTGAAATTCTAGCTAGATAAATCAGGCAAGAGAAGGAATCTCTAGGAATGCATATGTAAAAAGAAGAGCTCAAATTACCTCTGTATGCTGAGGATATGATCCTATATTTAGAAGAGCCTCAAATAGATCCAGCAGAAGACTTTGAGAGCTCCTAAGTGAATTCAGCAATGTAGCGGGATGGAAGAAGAACACCCATAAATCAATTACATTCCTATATTCCAATAAATAATCTGCTGAAAAAGAAATTAGGAAGCCTATTCTATTCACAATAGCCTCAAACAAACAAACAAAAAAACAAACAAAATCTTGGGAATCAATCTAACAAAAGTGGTGAAGGATCTCTACAATGAAAACTATAGAACACTTATAAAAATAATTGAGAAAGACCATAGAAATAGAAATATCTCTCATATTATAAGACAGGCTGAACGAATATTGTCAAAATGACCATTCTACCAAAAGCACTATAAAGATTCAATGCAATTCTCATCAAAATTCCAATGACAAATTTCACAGAACTATAGAAAGCAGTTATATAATTCTGTTGGAAAAATAAAAGACCCAGAATAGCCAAAGCAATTCTAAGTGAGGAAAGCAAATCAGGAGGCATCACAATACTGGACCTCAAATTATAGTACAGAGCTACAGTAACAAAAACAGCATGGTACCTGGCACCAAAACAAGCATGAGGACTAATCAAATAGCACAGAAGACACAGAGATAAACCCACATAATACAGTTATCTCATAATAGCCAAGGTGTCAAAGATATATGCTGGAGAAAAGATAGCCTTTTTATGCAGTGGTCTGGGAAAACTGTAAATGCATATAGAATAGAATGAAATTTAACTCTGACCTCTCACTCTGCACACATGTGAACTCAAACTGAATTGGAAACCTAGGAATTAGACTAGAAACCCTGCACCTGCTAGAAGGAAATTCAGGTCCAACATTCCAACATGTCAACACAGGAGCAGACTTTTTAAATAAAACTCCTAAAGTGCAAAAAATAAAATAAAAAATCAATAAGTGTGATGGCATCAAATTAAAACAATTCTGCATAACAAAAGAAAGAATTAAGAGCATAAAGAGACACCTGCAGAATGGGAGAAAATCTTTGCCATGTGCTCCTCAGGGCATTAATATCTAGACTATACTAAGAACTCCAAAAAAAGTAACACCAAATAAATAAATGAACCAATCAATAAATGGGCAAAGGAATTAAACAAGTACTTCTCAACAGGAGAAATACAAACTGTCAAAAAATACATGAAAACTTGTTAAATATCCCTAGCATCAGGGAAATGCAAATTAAAACTACATTGAGATTTCTTTCTTTCTTTTTTTTTTTTTTTTACTTTCCCTCAAAACTGAAAAATTAAAAAAAAAATTCTGGGGATGTAGCTCAGCAGTATAACACTCTGGGTTCAATTCCAGTACCACAAAATAATAATAATAACAAGTAACAGGGTTTCATTTGATACTATGACTACATGTTTTTCTTTTTCCTGATCTTCTTTTCCCTAAACTTCTCCCTGATTTTCTTTTCCCTAAACTTCTCTTCTCTGATCTTCTTTTCTCTAAACTTCTCCTCCCTAATCTTTTCCCTAAACTTCTCCTTTCTAATCTCTCCTCTCTCATCTCATTTTCTCGGAATCACCCCCCTGTTCCTGCAAATGGACAGAATCACAGCTTTTGGGAAGGAGTTCCCTGTGTTTCTCCTTTGCTAGCAAAACAATAAACACTTTTCCTTTTTCTCAAAAAAAATTTTTTTTTCATTTTTGGATTGGTGTCGAGAAAGAGGACTGAACTTTCAGGTATAAATAGAAGAATGTAACACACAACTTGTAAATAATAAAAATATGTACTATGCATTGCCTGATCTCAACCCTATAAACCATTCCTCTTACTACAGGAGGAAGACAGATAAATTCATGGGGTAAATTCAATGTAGTTATTTATTCTTACTGAATATTTTTAATTAATTTTTGCTGAACCCTTGTATCTATAGTTAATTTATGGCTGCAATTGAGAAACAAATGCACTCTCACATGAATTTAGGGGGATATTTTCATTGAAATCAATGAGTAAGATATAAAAAGACAGAGACAAAGGGAAGGACAAGGAAAATATAACTTCAACCTGAAAGTCTTGTGCTCTAACTGTAAAGCTCCATAAACTCAACAAGCCAAAACAACTGTTTACCTGTAGGAGATTTTATTAGCAGGATCATAGCAGCCAGTTGCAGAAGAGAAGGGGGTCGAGAGAGAGACAGAGAGAGAGAGAGAGAGAGAGAGAGAGAGAGAGAGAGAGAGAGAGAAGAGAGGGGGGAGAGAGAGAGGAGGAGGGGAAGAGAGAGGAGAGAGGGAAGAGAGAGGAGAGGGGGATGAGAGAGGAGGAGGAGGGGGAGGGAGAGAGAGAGGAGAGGGGGAGGAGAGAGAGAGGGGAGGGGGAGGAGAGAGAGAGGGGAGGGGGAAGAGAGAGAGGGGGAGAGAGAGAGGAGAGGGGGAAGAGTGGGGAGAGAGAGAGGAGAGGGGAGGAGAGAGGAGAGTGGGGGAGAGAGGAGAGTGGGGGAGAGAGAAGGGAGAGTAAAAGAGAGGGAGAGCAAGAGAGTAAGAGAGCTACATTGAGATTTCATCTCACTCTAATTAGAGTGGCAATTATCAAGTATACAATAACAAATAATAATTTCAATGCATTCCACTGTCATTTAGTTTTTTAAAAAATCAATAAATAAAAAATACAAATAACAATAAATGTTGATTAGGATGTGGGGAAAATGTACACTCATACATGGTTGGTGGGATTAAAAATTAGTGCAACCACTCTGGAAAGCAGTATGGAAATTTCTCAAAAAACTAGGAATGGAAGAACTGTTTGACCCAGTTAGCCCACTCCTTGGAATATGTCTAAAACATTTAAAATCAGCATACTAAACTGATGCAGTCACAAGGTTTATAGCAGTACAATTCACTATAGCCAAGCTATGAAACCAACCTAGGTGCAGCACTTCAACAGATAAATGGATACAGAAATGTGGTATGTATACACAATGGAATATTACTAAGCCATAAAGGATGACATTATTGCATCTACCAGTAAATGGATGGAACAGAAGTCTATCATGCAAAGTGAAAGTAGCCTGTCTCAAAAAGCTGAGGTTTTTGTGAAAGCTAATCCAAAATAAGAATATGGGTGATTTAAAAAAATTAAAAGTTCAGTGGAATAGCCTAAAGGGGGGTGAAGGGTATGGAGGAGGGATATGATTGGAAAAGACAGTGGAATGAATCACACCTAACTTTCCTATGTGCATATATGAATAAACAACAATGAATCCCCCAATCATGTATATCCACAAGACACTAATTAAAAAAAAAAAAAAAACTCTAAGTCAATATCAGAAGTTTCAGTAGAGCAGAGGGAAGCATACAGGGGCAGAGAGGAGTGGAAGTGAAAGCATTGGGGACTGAATTAGAACAAAACATGTTCCTTGCTTTTCTAATTATGTAAAAATGAATCCTAATGTTATATACAAAAAAAAAACCCATAAAAAAGAATTCTTGGATTCTTTTCATTTATTGATTCCCTACATATATTTCAAAAAACAATGTAACAATGGTCCCCAGGGAAAGAGATGGAGAAGAGCAGCTAAGTGAGGAAAGAGATAAACAAAAAGAAGAAAAGTCAGTGAAAAGACATCAAATGATCTGTTTCTTGAACAGTGAGGATGGGAGGACCATGGAAAAGCCATTTGGGGCTCTCTCCACATAGACCAACTCCATTCCCATAATTCACCACAGTTAAGATTGTTTTTTCACTTTTTTGAAGTGGGAATCTGGTCTCTTTTTTCATTTTCACAGAAAGCAGCCAGTTTTGACCACACACATCTTAACTTCTGATTAAGGTCACATTGATCACATGGGGAAATCCTCTTTCCTGGTTATGACTCTGTCAGGAATTTTCACATTACCTTGGAATCTGCCATTTCACAGAGACCTAACTTTTCAATAACCTTGCTGATTCGATTATTTTTTTCCTCCTTTGACATAGTTGTTGGAAGCTGAAGAGAAGCTGAGAACTGTATGTTTTCTCTCATTGACAGGGTGCTCATCACAACGTCATCCTGAAGGGAAATGCGGTTTCAGTGAGTCACATTGAATCTTTTCTAAGACCATCACTCCAGTGAATGTAAATTAATTCACAAAAATAAAAAACCCAAGGAAAATTTCTAGGTAATGATGAACTTTCAACTCTAAAATTTCAGTGATTCCACAAATAGCTTCAAGGCCCAGGGAATAATTTTCCTTCCCTATTTTCAAACCCAGATGGAGCACTGTTGATTATGGTGACTTCTAAACACTTCCAGAATGCTTTGTATGAGGATTTGATGGGACATCTTTGGAGAGAAAAAGAGAGGTGAAGGAAGGGCAAAAGGGCAACAGTAGACCCTTGTGTAAATGATATCAAAGCTATGTGGTGAGCCGTTCTAATAGACCGTGGCCGCCATTAGAAGAAGGCGCCGGCTTCCACTGTGGCCTGTGATAAACTCCTTTTTTGGAGAGTTGGCACGCAATCCCTTCCCACCCTATGAGAGAGATCCACGTGGCAGCTTGGGATTGGTATGCGGGAGGCTTTATTAGGCTGTGCTTGGGCGCTCGGCGGGGGGTCACTAGAAGATGATACATGAATCAAGGCCTGAATATACTGCTGAAAGAAGAATCCTGTGTCGTGTTTTCCCTTGCCGGCGAGGGGTCGCGACAATTGGTGGCCCGGACGGGGAATTATATTACTCGAACCCAGGATCCAGAACTTTCAGCAGTCAGGGTGGTGCACCGGTAAGTTCCCAGGTAAAGTGGGAATCCGCAAGCAAATAGCGGGCGCTCTCTCTGTAAATAGAGAGAGAGCGGGAAAAAGGGACGCTCCCCTGTAAAAGGAAGAGAGCGGGGAATTCATAGAACGGAACGCTCCCCTGTAAAAGGAAGAGAGCAGGGACTTTTGTACTTTCACTTTCTTTATAGCTTTAAAAACATTATGGGTGTTGCTTCTTCAAGCCCAATTTTGTTGGCCCTGGATGGGTTGCTACATTCAAAAGGACTTAAGATAAAGCAGAGTACTTTGCAGATGTTTTTAAGAGAAGCTGATATAGCGGCTCCTTGGTTTGCTTTTTCAGGGAGTCTTATGATTCCTAGCTGGGACAAATTAGGGAAAGATCTAGATTTCGCTCGTGAGCAAGGCACCTTAGAGGGTGGCGTTATACCACTTTGGAAGTTAGTTAGAGGATGTATAACAGATGGTAAATGCCAGGAAGCTGTGAGTGAGGGTCAAGCTATTCTTGAGCAACTGCATGAGGAAAAATCTGAAGGATCATGTAGTGAAGTGGCAGAGAGTATTAAAAGTAACAGTAGTGAGAAGGCAAAAGAGCCTGAAGATAAAAATAGGAGAAGGCTCTACCCAGACTTGACCGAATTAAAAACGCCTGAGAACACAAGCGACTCAGAGAGTTCTGAGGACCTTGATATATTGTTACAACAACTACATAAGATAAAAATGAAAAAGAAGAAAAAGGAGACACAGGGCATGCAGGCCTACTGTAAGAAGGGGAAGGGAGTTAACATCGGTCAACAAAACTCTGAGGAGGAGGAGGTAGAATATCTAGAAGAAGATATGGTGCCGATTGCCCCACCTCCGTATGTGGGGGGGAGCCAAGGTTCCGGGAGATCTTTTCATGCACAAGTTTGGAGGACAGTTAATACAGATATGGGACTTGCATACCCTGTATTTCAGGACAATAACAGGGGAAGATATCATGAGCCTTTAGACTTTAAGATAATTAAAACCTTGGCAGAATCTGTCCACACTTATGGCATAGATGCCGCTTTCACTCTCACTCAGGTGGAGGGACTTACTAGATTTTGCATGACTCCCTCAGATTGGGCTAGTCTAGTCCGCGCTTGTGTTTCCCCAGGGAAATATTAGGAGTCCAAAGTTGGCTGTTTAATGTTTCTGGCAGTACCCAAGACTCGGAGCGAGGTAAGAGACTTAAAATTACTTCACACAATTCACAATTGTTTAATGCTACATTACCCTCCGCAGCAGTCTGTCTCCAATCTCCGTTCCTGTTTCTTTTGGCTAATGTTACATTACAGGGGATGCTTAATTGTTCTAATATTACCTGTTATTTGTCTGAGTGTTGGAATGGCTCCTGGACTACGGCAGTGGTTATGAAAATTCCAACCTTTGTCCCGATCCCGGTTACTGCAGATCCAGAGTCTTTTCCTATTGTTGAACTGATGAGAGCCCGTAGAGATTTTGGAATTACGGCAGCTATAGTGACAGCTGTGGCAGTGTCTGCTGCTGTAGCAGTTACAGCTGGAGTAGCCATGGCCAGCCAAGTACAAACTACTGCCACTATTAATCAGGTTATTCAACAAACATCCACCATACTTGAATCTCAAAGTAGAATTAATCAACATATTTTATCTGGGATTCTAGCTGCTAATCAAAGGATAGATCTGCTTCAAGCTCAAGTTGAGGAATTGTCTGATCTAGTACATTTGGGTTGTATTGATCAACGTGCACATTTATGTATAACCTCTGTCAGATTTAATGATTCCAGAAATGCCTCCCGCATCATCGGAGAGTATCTATCCGGAACCTGGTCCATGGAAGCAGAAAACTTGATCCAGTCTCAACTAACTCAGATTGCTGTTTTGAATAGCACCCGTGTCGAACCAGTGACTTTGGGTCAATTCACCAGTTGGCTATCCTCTGCCTTTTCCTTTTTTAAGGAATGGGTGGGAGTGGGCATTTTTGGTGCTATGTGTTTCTTCGGTGTTGTACTTTGTTTGTGGCTTCTCTGTCGCCTTAAAACTCGCCATGCGCAAGAGAAGGCTATGATCATACAGGCTCTTGCGGCCTTAGAAAATGGCATTTCTCCACAAATCTGGCTTGCACATCTTAAACAGTGATTTCTGGGCATGGCCATTGCACCCCAAGTTAGTTTCACATTGCACTGGGATTGGCATGTCCTCTTCCTTATTCTCTCCCAGTGCTGAATAGCCCTTGCACTCTGCAGGTCTTGTTACCATTGCACGCAGATGGGTTTCAGGACTGGTCTTTCTTCTCGGCTACAGATTCTTTACCTTCCTCTGGGGTTTAGGGATTGTGTTGCCAACTTAAATTTTGTCATTACTACCAGGCTACTTGTGTTATCCTACTTCTCACCGTCGTCACGATGCAGGATGCGAGGCAAGGCACTGCACTTGAGTGATCCCTCAACGGACCTCAAGGAAAGCATGTCCTATTCAATGCGGGTTTGATGTCCACGCCCCGCCCTACGAAAAAAGGCGTCGGCTGATATGGGACCAGGTCTAGGGAAGGGCCCTCCTTAGGACTGAACCATACACTGCAGCCACTTCTGCACAGTGGGATAGGACCTCTACTTTCGCCTGCATTGTTATATAAAATAGAAGGGGAAACTGTGGTGAGCCGTTCTAATAGACCGTGGCCGCCATTAGAAGATGGCGCCAGCTTCCACTGTGGCCTGTGATAAACAACTCCTTTTTTGGAGAGTTGGCACGCAATCCCTTCCCACCCTATGAGAGAGATCCACGTGGCAGCTTGGGATTGGTATGCGGGAGGCTTTATTAGGCTGTGCTTGGGTGCTCAGCGGGGGGTCACTAGAAGATACATGAATCAAGGCCTGAATAAACTGCTGAAAGAAGAATCCTGTGTCGTGTTTTCCCTTGCCGGCGAGGGGTCGCGACAAAGCTAGAATTGATACCATTGCCTACAGGTTCATATTCCAGGCCCTTTCTTCCTCTCCTTTTAACTTCTCTGTCAATCTTAAGGGAGATTATGTAAATTTGGTGTAAATAAAATTGGTTCCTTGAGCATGTTCAATTGGAAGCATGTTATACTACAAACCAAGGCTCTTGCCCATATAGAAACAGGGGAACCCACTCATACTTACCTGTACCACATATCCTGAATTACATTTGGGTACTCCATGTACCCAAACGTTTCCAGATAATCCTTTTGGTTTTTTCCTTGCAGCTAACAGACCTAATAGCCTATAAAAGGACACATATGTTGTGAGATTTTTCCTTCCAACAAAGGCCACATCCCTCACCTAGTCTGAATCCAAATTCCATTCAAAATAGAACATGAAGTAGCCAAGTTCTGTAGTTGAACACGTGTGTGTGTGAGTCTGTACATGCAAGCACATACACAAATTCTTACCTTCCTATTCATCATGTGCTAGAAGAAAGCCAAAAAACATTAAGGCAAGATATCACCAGATAATCCAGTATAGACCTCCCAAATGACCCTCACCTTAATGGACCCAACCCTGGCAATACACTCCTGTATCTCTGATGCATGTCCTCACAGAACCCTTCTGCTCCTTCTCTTCACTTTTAATATTATTCCCTTCTCTTCCTTCCCCATTAGCCCATAATATGGCCAACTGTTATATGCTAATCACTTTATCATGCTGTGTAAGTAAAGCTAAATTTAATAAGAATTCCTGGTCCTAGGATTAAAACCATAAGATAGTCCAAATGCAGGTCATCCATAGGACCTAGAACCAGACAAGGTAAGCACAGCAAATGCCTGTGATGTTTAAAAGCACACTGAAACTGCACCAAAAAGGCTTATTTACACTTTCTTTTGTACTCACAAAGATTTTCCTCCACCTGGGGGTCCCATGATGGCATTAAGGCCAGGTTTCATGATCCCACTGTAAACACAAAATTATACTGATTTATTATTTCACTTTTTAAAGAGTTATATAGCACAATTTTTCATAACTCTGCGTGTAAAGTAAAAATTAATAAATAAACCTAAAAAAGAGTTCTATAGGTTTAGGGGCTGCAACGAATATATTCAATAAAGGTCGATGAAATTGCAGACAGATAACAAGCACCAAATCTTAAAGAAAAAAAATTAATTGATTAAAAGTAGTCCAGTATATTAGGGATATCAATCACTAGGACCTATAAGAAAAATGTGTTAGCTACCTGAAAATTCCTTTCATTTATTCTTCAGACCACTAATCCTTCTTGGGAAATGACACATTTCATGTCCATAGTCCATGAAATAATTAGCTATTTCTTATGAATAATCTCCATGACTCTTCTCCTCTTAAAACAGCTTCTGAATAATGTTTGATGATCAGCCTCTTCAAATCCCCTCACCTGCTTCCCAGTCAAGTTTCACACAATTAATGAACCACTGATTTGTAGACTATCAGCAGTAGTGTCCTCACTTTTAAAATCTAATCAGAACAAAAATCAGCACATCTTAAGTAGAAATCAAAGACTGGAACAAAGCACTCCAGAGTATAAGAAGCTATCACCTGTTCTTTACATTTGAGAAAAACATGTTACCAATTAAGAAAAGAAAAAAAAAAAAGAAAGGAAAAAAGAAACCAACCCAGGATAGATTTTACTGCTTTGTTCAGTGTCTGATAAATGGACTGGAAAATGCTCAGTTTAGAATTTGGGGACATCCCTCTAGCCTGGAAGTCCTTTAGGGATGCACAGAACAGACACAAGTATGTTTCAATCATATTAAGTGTGTGTGTGAGGGTAGTGAACACTCAGAGTAGAAGGAGGTGATTACTGACTGTGCTACACTCAAGATAAAGCTGAATTTTGTCCTAAATGTAAGAGGTGAAATTATCAAGAGGAAAGAAACAGCGGAAGGAGAACTAAGGGCAGGGACAATTCAATTGCACAGAAATGATGAAACAGCAGTCTGATTTCACCCATTCACAACTCTGGTATCTATGCCAGTCTCTCTTCAGAATTGCTACGTACATCAAGATGTGTTGTGTTTTACAGTGGAATCGTTTCAGCACATCTGACCCACAGCATTCACATCCACTATGAGTTTGGTATTCATGGTCTGAGGTACCTGCTCTGTCTCCCAATGATACTAGGGCTGCTGGGGACTGAAGTAAAACGTGATTTTCACTTTGCTCATTGACTGGGGAGGATCTCATTCAATCACTGGACTACCATAATGGGAGTGTGGTAAATCAGGAGCAGGCTGTGACACAGAAAAATCTTACCCTTGTGGTAACCTTCCTCTGCCAGTGTAAAAACATGCTAATGACTGGGCATATCTGGGGGTGTAGGTCAGTGTTAAGAGTGGGTGATTAGCATGCACAAAGTCTTGGGTTCAATCATTAGCAAACTTCCAAATTAAAAAGTCTTGGGTAAACGCTCAAAGTACATTTTTTTCTACAGTTCTTAATGCATCTTCTTTATTAATAGCTACCCAGCAATTACTTCTAAAATGAGCATAAAAAAACCTTATTATTCAGTAAGGCTTCATTGCCTGGTAAACTTCCCAGGTTTTTAAGAGATGAACGCAAGAAAGGAGCAATCGATCCTGAATGATTCAACCAGAAATTGAATATGAATGTGTTCAGACAAAACATTTCTTAGGTACTGCTGTTTGGCTTTCTCTGACACTTAAACCCCAGTGTTACAGGAAACAGAAGTAGGAGTAGAATCCCCAAATGCCACAGTTCCAATGTGGAACAGTGGCTAATTCCACATCCATTCAGGCAAAACAATCATGACCTGTCTATTATGTGTGGACCAGATACTCTTCCAGGACAGGGGCTAGTGCTGAGAATAAATCAAGCAGATCAAACTAAGTCCCAGACCCCTGGAGTACAAGCAAGCACCCTACAGCTTGTCACTTATTTTCTATTTTCACAAACACTGTGATTGGACAGAGCCATGCTCATTGGTTTAAGTAGAATCTAGAGCTGCTTTCATGCTACAATGACAGTTAAAACTGTCAACTATGGTTCATCATTCCCTGTCTCCTCACCCTCCCTCCACCCTTCTCTAGCCCCTCACAAGCCATTTCCCCCCTTATTTTCTGCTTACAGCATGTGCCTGCAGAGGTCCTCTCTCCTCATACTGTAAAACCTTCACAACAAGACTGTGTGTGTCTGACTGTTACCACTTCTCCCTCCTGCCCTCCCCCATTACACACAGCACACTGAATCCCAAATACTGAGTTCATGGCATGAAAGAAACCTGAATGATAGCTATTGGATCTATTATATTTTACTAGATTGAGGTCCACCCTTTGGTATTGTTTTGTTTATGGTCAGAGGAGGTAAATGCCATTCCTGGGCGTGGTCAACCTCCCCACATACACACACACACACACACACACACACTCTCTCTCTCTCTCTCTCTCTCTCTCTCTTTCTCTTTCTCCCCCTCCCCCTCTCTTTCTCTCACACATATGCACACACACACACACACAGAGTTTTCACTTTCTCAGTCTCCTTGTACCTGGCACTCCAATTCAGGGAGAGGGGTTTATATTTTGTCTTTGAATACTTTAATCAATCAGAGCAAACAATGCAGGCAAACTGCTCTAGTTTTCTGAATCTCATTAGATTGCAAGGTATCCAAAGACATAGGGCACGTCTCTGTCACTAGCATCTTACACAACACCAGGCACCAGTAGGCACCCGAAATTTGTTGAATAAGTGAGTCTCCACCTTAGTGTACTGAGTCCCTAGTCGATTACCTGGAAAGAATAATTGAGGTAAATGAACCCTTGCACATTGTGTGCTTTGTAAGTATTCAACCTGCAAATATTCAAAGCATGGTACATTCTACCTCTTTCATCACAAAATCTGTAAGGACAAATATTTGTCAATTACTGTGTTTCACCAAAGGCTTCTCAGATTTTAATAAGTCAAGTCTATCTAATGATGTAGCAAAAGATCAAAGCCTGTCATCCACCATTCCTCTCCTTATTCTCCTATACAGGATTTATCAATCCATACAAGAGAAAGACAAGAATTAGGCAAGTCAGCAGGTGTTGTTAGGGTCTGTAAGCAAGTCTGGATGGTGCCTGGCATTTTGCCAGAGGGAGTGGTTTGAGAAGTAACGCCAGTGAGCCATTAAGTGTGGAGATTCCTTATTGGTTGACTGCTGTATCTAGTTTATGTTAATTAAGATAAGCTGTGTATTCAGTAATGTATATGTACCACTCCTGTCCTACAATAAACGGCTCCCACTCCTGCTGTATCAATGTACACCCCCTGGTTATTTTGCTGCAGCCGAGAGAAAGACAAGAAGTAAGCAAGTCAGCAGGTGTTGCTGTGTGGACAGAGTTCTAATCTTACACAGCAGCCCTGGCCTCAGGCTAGTCAGCCCCCAGATTCTCACCATTTCTTTCCCATCCATACCTCAACATTTTCTATGCTATCTTGTTGCTTCATTGTCCTCTGAAGGGAGTTAGCTGGTATTAACAGAGAAGTGTAAAGTCATGTAAAAAATATCAAGAAAACAGAACAAACTTATTACATATAGATCTACTTTTATAACCACTGCCCAGACTTGAACAGCCTGGAGAAGGTGCTTACTTGACTAGAAATAATCATTTTCCTTATTACACAAACATAACTCATAGGTCATGGTACCTGAGGAAAGACAAAATCATATCCTGATACCAAAGAGGGGAAGCAGAGTATCACAAATATCAGAAAAACATTGACACTCCTAATGGCCAGCATCTATGAACTTAAGAAGGTACCTGGTAGTGATAGGTTACAGAGAAACACTCATTTCCCTCCTACTTTGGGTCCCACTTCAACATCACATTTTGAATTCTGAATTTGTTGCTGGATAAAAAGTATAAAAATCATAAATATAAGGTACTTTAAACATCACATAATTTCAATTGTTATAGGGATCTTATATTTAAGTATGTTCTGTCTTTATAAGAGCAAGTAATAAGTAAATTTTTATAGAAAATATAACAATTTAAATTGTTATAAATAGACCATTCATTTAAAACAGGTCTATTGAAAAGTAAAGTACCTTCACAATATACTATCGTTTCAACCGCCTTGCTTCTAGAACATAAAGGACATAAGGTGTACAGCTACTTAAAATGCATCTGTCTCAAAAATATTGGAGTAGTGAAATAGAGACACATTCAATTTCACAGTTTGAAAAAATCATGGTTATAATTTTATACCCACAATCAAAAAGCAATAAACTGAAAAATTGGGGCTCTTTTCACCAAAACACAAAGCTTACTCACAAATAACTAAATGGCACATTGATTGTTCAGTTTCTCAAACAATGATTGATATACATAACACAATCACTTTTACGAGTGGTTTGTCAGTGCAGTTCCTTTCAAAGCTAAACATACACTTAAGTGTCCAATCATTTCAGTCCTAGTTTAGCCAAGATAAATGCAAGCATTTCTCAGTATATCTGTACAAAATCTTGAACACAAATATTCATAGCAATTTTTTGGTAATAGCCAAAACTTGGAAGTTCATTGTAGGTCAATAAAGTGGTCCTTTAAAAAGATTATGCACATACTTGATAACTGATAATGTCCTTTTATCAGTTGTTTTCCAACAAAATGGGAAGCCACTTTTTTCTTGACTTTCATAAGAGAGGTTTTGAAAACATAATACAGGCCCTTTCTTGCCACTGGAGGTCGTCCCAGGTAGGTCATCAGAGTTTCTTTGGGTCTTGTGGGAAAAAACCGGGTGATTATTGGAAGACATCTGGACAGTTCTGTCTTTCTGTAGAGGGAAAAGTGATAGTAAGTTGATAGTCCAGGTAAATGAGGTTTTTAGACACAAGATAACAACAAATTAACACATTTAAACTGAGCTTCTTTTAAATTGTCCTGCAATGAGTAGTTTCCTTTCCAAAGAGCAGCCCATATCAATGTGATAAGAACAATCATAGAACCTATAATGGGAGCCAAAGTACAATTAGAATACCTGCACTTCAATTAGATGTCAAATTCCCAAATTATGGGCCCTAATGAGTAAATAGAGTATACAAATTATTCAAAAACCATGAAAGAGGAAAAAGGCAGGTGAGGGTTTAGTCTCCTCTGTCTTGAATACAATACTATGATACAACTTTAGTTCAAGGAGAGCCTACATGATCTTATGTGCTCCCACATGTTTTAATGTTGGAGTTTATAATATTGTTACTACCAAAAGGAGCTTAGCTTCTTAGGCAGGGGCAGGAGAGATTTCTAAGAATTAATAATTCAAAGTTGTACAAGTCTGGTTGTTGTTTACCTTGAATCAACTAAGAATTTAAACACCAACATTTTTTTTTCACTGAAATTATTTATTTAATGGACAAACATATCATAATGATGAATTATATTAAACCAACAGTTAAGCAGCACAATTTTGGTTTAAAGCAAAATTGGATATTAATAAGTGAAGTTAAAAATATTTCATTTGGGTGGGGGCTGTGGCTCAGTGATATGCCTAATAAGTGTGAGGCACTGGGTTCAATTGTTAGCACCACATAAAAATAAATAAAATAAAGATATTGTTTCCACCTACAACTAAAAAAAATATTTTTAAAAAATTTCATTAAAGATATTACAAAGGTCCCTTAAAAAGACTCACTGAGAGTAAGACCTGGTGCTGAACTGATCTTGTTAAATAGATTTGAAATTCTAAATGCAATAATTCTAGTTTTCATTTTTTAAGCCAAAGACATTCATGAAGTATTTTCTCTCTGTCTATGGAGAACAAGCTGCTCCCAACAAATCATTCTCCAGAGAATGACCATAGAAGCAGACAGAACATGAGAAAGAGTGTGTGAAGAGGTCTCTGATGAGAGCAAGAAAGCCACAGGGACTGGAGGAACCAAAATCCCAGTAAGCAGGGAACGGTACTGGGTAATCCCAACACCCTATGCCTTTTTCTTTCCAGGTATTTAAAAACCCAAACTTCACATGCATGGGACAAACATGGAATCCAGGCACGAAGAAGCTGCTAGAGGCATCTCCCAGAAGCCCCTAATATATGTGAGCAATTATCTCTGCAGTCTTTCTTCTAGAGAGACAAAATTTGGACTTGTGGCCAGCAAAGGTGAGGATCCCTAGGAACCTAAGATTTTGAAATCCCAGAAACATTATGGCTTGGGAATATGGGAAAACCAAAAAGAGACCATTCTCTGCTTGATCAAGGTTCTCTGCTCAGACCTTGCTAGAAGAAAGTTAAAATCCACTTTCAAAAAAAGATATTATCACCAGGGGTGGTGGCACACAACAAAATCCCAGTAACTCAGAAGCCTGAGCCAGATGATTCACAAGTTTAAAGCCAGCCTCAGCAACATAAATAGGCCCTAAGCAACCCAGTGAGACCCTGCCTCAAAATAAAAAATAATAATAAATAAAAAATAAGAAAATGGGATGTGGATGTGCCTCACTGGTTAAGGACCTTGGATTCAATCTCTGGTAACAAAATAAATAAACAAAAAATAAAACAAAACAAGCTCCCATCCTCCAAATTATCACTCTAATTAATTTAAAATTACCATATATGTCAGAATATGGGAGCTAAAGTTCCAATAATCAGAACATAGAAGAGGTTTCACAGGTAATCTAGACTGAAGTTATCAAACATTGACATTAAAACCAATGATTAATATGTTCAGGAAATAGGTAAATATTTAATGTAGGGATAGATATTTAATGTAGGGGTTCTGTGTTTGGGATTGAGGTCTCTGATAGCTTCATGACTGTGGCATGCTTGATGGCTAGAAAGTTTCTGTGCAAAGACACAGAATGCCTGGCTGCTGGGAAAACTTCTGTGCAGAGACACAGGATGCCTAGCTGCTGTAGCAATGTCCTTCATGAAGAGGCTCTGTGTTTGAGTCTTATCAGCATCGACCTTGATCTCAGGCACACTGCTCCTGGGAATAAAAGAACTCTCTTGTTAGACAACCACAAGGTTTATTGAGCCCAAACCTGCCCACATAACAGGAACTTTATACAATAGACTTTCTTGAGAGCTACATAAAGCTCCTAACATTGCACATTGCAACTTAATATATAACTGAGGAATAAGCTGCATAATGTTGCTAAGTCTGTAACCTGCCTAGTAATACAATGAACAATAAGTACTAAGGATGCCAATGACCTAAAGTAACCTACTTATATAAATAAAGCTCGGCCTCTCTGCCATTCTGCCAACTTTCTTTCCTGTCTCTGCATCTTGTCTCTATGTCCCTTTTTATTTTCCTTACAATTAAAAATAAATAAAAATTAAGAATTCAAATTAGGCATAGTGGTGCAAACCTCTAAATCTAGCTACAGAGGAGACTGAGGTGGGACAGGGGGTCAGGAAAGCACTCTCCAATGATGCTATTGAGCAGTCACTGAGGGTGGCCATCTGGAGGAGCAGTGCTAGTCTAAGCACTAGTTTAAGGAACCAGCAAAGAGGCCAGAGGGCCTGAAGAGTGAGTGAGGGCAAGAAGACAGGATAGGAGGTCAGAGGAAGGAGAGCTCAGGCATAGCCCAACACTGACCACCATGAGAAATTTGACTTGCACTGGGAATGAGACAGAGAGGTACTAGGAAGTTCTGGGTGAAGGAATGGCATGATTTAACTATGTTTACAAGACCACTCTGACATTTATCAGGGGTGGGAATGAAGCAAGGAAGTCATATAAGAGACTACTACTATAACAACCCAAGAGCCAGCATGGGAACAGTGTTCTGAACCCTCCTTTGTTGAAAGATCTTGGAAGTCTTCTTTATTTCTGTATGTGCTGCCCCTGTGCAATACCACTCAGGAACTCCAAGAATGGAAACAGCCCCAGGTTTACCAGACACAACACACCAAGAACATACCACCTGTAGTACTCTCTCCTGTTTCACAAGAAAATGGGGGTGCAGGTGGGAAAGGCACTGAACTTCAAGAGGAGGAGAACCTCATTCCCACAGCAAGGACACAACCAAACAGAGGATTTATAAAGGTTCTTTATGATCTTAACCAGTTCCAAACCATCCTGGTACCTAGCCTCACGCACCGCATGATCAATTTAGGAAATAAAAAGAGTACAATACATAATAACGGTTGACTTTATGTCCCATAGAACTAGAGAAAAACTCATGCAAATCTAAAAGGGATCTCATGGAGAGGCTCCTATGAATCCAAACAAGAGGTGTAGGTATCAAGACGTGGAGGAGTGTGTGTCTGTGGGAGTCAGGAGGATGACATTGACAGATGCCCTGGGAAGTCCTCACCCTTTATCTCCTCTCTTGGCCAAGCTGACCCCATCCTGGCACCCTGTTTAGACATTCTGTGAGAGGGTAGATAAACTTGGCACCTCTCAGTCAGGCCTTCCTGTTTTTTTGTAAGACTCTTACCTCCCTTGGCTTCAGTGGAAGATCACAAGACTTATTCCTTTCTAGAAACATCTCTTTGATCCTCTGGATAAATTGAAGTAGATTATCTAATGCTAGCTGGACCTAAGATCTAAATTACAGCCAGACTCTGTTTTAATAGCAGTTAGGCTTTTTCAGCCAGAAACTTAAGAGATTGAACTAGTGATCGACAAAGTGCAGGAACTATGGTTCAGTAGGGTCTGACCAAGACTTCATTCCCTTCTTGTGAAAACAAACTTATTTGGGGACTAGGATCGGAGCAGAAGGTAGAATAGCAATTTCTCTCTGTACTTATCACTCATTCCTGGCTTAAACAACTACTATACTTCTAACTTTGAATACAATTCACTCAATATTTTATCTCTGTAAGTAAGTTAGCTGTGTAGCTCAGAATTAGAGAATCACTCTTATCAGCCTCCTAGTGAGTAGAAAGAATAAGTACTCATCAGTATGGGTTTTGTGGGATCATGGTGCAAGAATGACTTTGAATATATATTGTTATGGTTTAGATGTAGTGTCCCCCAGAAGCTCACATGTGAGATAATGCAATAAGGTTTTGAGAAGAAATGATTGGATTGTAAGAGCCTTAACCCAATCAGTGATTTAATCCCCTGGTAGAAATTAACAGAGTGGTAATTGAAGTGGTAGGGTTTGGCTGGAGGAGGTGAGAATTGGGGTTTGGCTTTGATGTATATCTTTGTTTCTGGACAGTAGAGTCTCTCTCTCTGCTTCTTTATCTCCATGATTTGACTGCTTCCCTCTGCTACACTTTCCTGCCATGATGTTTAGCTGACTTTCTATGAACTAAGAATTCTGAAACTGTGAGCCCTGTGAGCCCTCAAATAGACTTTTCCTCTTCTACCATTGTTCTACTCAGATTTTTCGGTCACAGCAGAGAAAAAGCTGACTAAAACATACATTAATATTAATATCAATATACATTATTAACCACAGAAGCGTACTTTGTAGGAGAGATATGTGGTATGTGAATAAGATTATACATAATTGAAAAGGAAAAAGGTTATGAACAAAAATCATCTAGACTATCAATTTTTTTCCCACTCTGAGTTGAACTCAGCAGTGATTATTTAAAGAACAGATGAGATTTTGTAAGTGTATATAACCCATACATACAGGTAGGGAGGCCATTCAGGCTCTTTAATTTTGACAAAACATTTCACTACTAACTTCTCATCCCACAATATATGGTTTATATGTAACACAATATAAGCCTTCCTTCTTGATGCTGTCTTCACCTGCTGCCAAACTCATATCAAAAACTGTCAGCACAATGTCTGAGTTGACAGATAAAACAATAACAATTCTGATTGTTACACATTGTAGATATGTAAGGAA